ATGCTCAAGTCGCAGCTGGAGCGTCTGGAGTCCGAGGTTGCCAGCATTAAGATGATCCTGGCCGAGTAGCCCGGATCTGGATCTGGATCAGGATCAGGAGAGAGAGCGAAGAGACAGAGACTCTGAAGGGGATCAGGGGATCGAGGATGCAGAGCTGGAGATGGAGAGTTCCATGGCGCCAGTAGTAGTAGAAGATGAAGTTTGAAAACCGAGTGTTAACTATTACATACGCGAGGCATCTGCAAATGTATAACTCTAAAGCCGGGCTTGGATCATAAACGACTCCTAGACTTTGTGGTCCAAACCCGGGCATTACCTATGTATCTGTGTGCATATGCTTATCTATCCACTGTATTGAAGTCTTGTAATCGTGAATGTTTAACTATATATAGATCTCGTCAAAACTCGGAGCTAAACAAATCCTTAGGGTCGTCGGGCCAATAGAGTTTCTTATTTAACCTAGCACACGCACGCTATTTGTTTGCATAGCTAACTGGTGACCCCGTTGCGGTGATCGGGGTCACCAGCAAAGTTATTCTCCTCTTATGCATCCCAAGTTTCCTTATGCACAGCGAAAGTGGAGAGAAAAATGAAAGATATATTATATTTGTAGGCAAACGTTACAAAGTATTTGCTGTTGTACATATTACACAATTAATTATATATATTTACCATATACATCTTTATTCCTATCGTGTACATAATTTTAGTTGCAAGCTAAGCTTATTTTTATTTTATTTTATATTATATTATATTATTATTATTATTATTATTATTATTATTATTATTATTATTATTATTATTATTATGTAGTGAAGTAAACATATACATTACACTTAAGCGACGCGTGAAGCACATTCAAACGTGAGAGACGAAAGAAATCTGAAAAGAATTAATGAATATATTCTGCAATAAATCATTTTAAATATCTTACCTTAATGTTTGTCGTTCTCAATTTATTTATTGTTTGCTGCTTTGGTTGCCCGTGTGGGTCACAGCGCTTTAACTAAATGTTATCAAAGTTTAAGAAACTTGAAAAACAAAAAACCAGAAATAAAATAAAATAAAAGAACAGAATCACACAAAATACATATATAAATATAGATATTCGTAGATCGATCGATTCGAGACGAGACGTATTGGTGTCGTAAATCGTAGTCCATGTGAGAGCTGAGCATTCACTTTTAAAGTTGTATTAATTTTATGCCAATCACTGTATCCACATTACACTTTACACTAAAACGCAGTGAAGCACACAAGAAAAATACATATGATTATTACTATAACTATTGGGTACGCAGCCCCCTATCTATATGAATATTTAAATAACTCGTTTGTGTTGATCAATGAAAATAAAACTATTTATATTGATGAAAGAAAAACTTACAAAGGTCTTTTACTGCATTGTTTTAAGGGCAACCATTTGCACTTCCCCTGTTGCCAGACGCCCATAAAAAGTTTAGATTGGAGATGATTCATAGTACTATCGAAGAAAATGAGCTAAACAAATTAGAATTGCAGCTGTAGTAGTGAGTTAATCTATTACAGGGTTTTTAATAAAGATTGCATCACCTTTTCACGAGTCCATCACATATTACAGCATGTGCGAGGGTTGTATTAGAAGTATTTAAATTCCAGTAATATTTACACTTTCATTTAAGACTTCCCCAAAATAAAACCAAAAACTTGCCATTCGAGTGGTAAAGAGATTATTTATTCTTAATGACTTTGTTGCCTTGTATTTGTACAACGAAAAAAGTTTTGGAAAATTTAAATTTATTTAGAATAATATCGTGTGTATGTCACTAATTTGTTTTTCGTTTTTCGTTTTGGTTTTATCATTATTCGAAATACAGTATAAGTATAATAATTAAATATTCTGTCTTTTTTTTTTATAATAAATCCTTAAACATCACATGAAAAGTTTTTCTTGTTGTTGGGTTTCTTACTTTCTTTTTTATAAGTTTTGAATACTTTCTATCCGTTCTTTGGTATCATTTTCATATCTCGAAAACTTGCATATTTTCCGCCTGTTTCGTTATAGCCTAGGAAAAACGTATCTAGTCCACAAAAGTTATAGACTTAGATCAAGACCTGTTTATAAATTTCGTTAATATATAGTTATATATGTATATATAATAACTTAATAATAGTAAGTACCATATGTTGTGGTTGTTGAGGGGGTTTGGTATTTGGTATTTCGGGGATTTTGGTTGTAAATATGTGTAAATACAGAATTTTCTTTGGTTTAAGACGATTTCTCACTTTCTGGTTGTATATAACTCTCCAGCCTTGCCTTGAAGAATGGCGTTCGCGATATTGGTATAGAGGTCTGTATATATCGTTTATCTATATAGTATATCGTTTTTTTTTTTTTTTTTTTTTTTGTTATGTATTTTCCTGTGTGGGTTTTGAGAGTGCAACTGTAAATTGTAGGTACTTATTAACTAACTACAACACAACACATGCCACGCCATGTAAAATTGTAGGGGTTCTCATCTCAGAATTTTGCTGGCTGAAAAAATCCATCAAAATGCTACATTTTCTAACTAAGTTTCCTTTTGGGCCGTTCCATTACATTCTTTTCTTTTCTTTCGTTTTTTTTGGCATTATCTAAGAGAGGTCAAGAGTGTATTACTTTGGTTTTTGCGTTTTTGGAAAACGTTGATTTGGCCTTAAACATTTTTTTTTTTGGTAGATTTGTTAGCTTCGGTTGGGTTCTGTTTATATCGTGTGTGTGTTTTGTTCGTTTGTGGGTTGCTTGGTTTTGAGTTTTCGTTTTCTTTTACGTTTACGTTTACGTTTTTGTGTAAAAAGGTACATGATAAGATTGTTTTACGACTCATCGATGCCGAACTGGTTTGACCCTACGTGCTGTGACCTTGGGTGGACTGTCCACCCAAAGCTATAGAGGGGGTGGTGCTGGTGGTTGCGGCAGGAGCTGAAGCCAAAGCTCCAGTTGCGGATGTGCTCTGCTCCAGACTCCACGGATGCACCATGTCGTAGTACTTGCGGTAGTCGTAGTCAAACAGCTCGAAATCGATGCGATATATCTTGAGCAATTGGTCCAACGTTGAGCGGTCGAGATCGGCAAAGTAACGCTCGACCAGGGCCTCCGATTTGACGCCACTTCGGGCCTGGTTGCCAATCTTGCGCTGCTTCCGCTGCGGCAGCTGGCCCAATCCCAAGAGCAGCGATTCCAGTCCCGCCTGTCGGATGATGAACTCCGAGTCGCGCTGGAATGTCTCCGTTTTGCCAATGATGGTGAAGTTGACGCTGCAGGGCGTGCAGAAGCTGTACACCGGTGCCCAGTGCTCGTCGAATCGCTTGCCCGCCGCCTGTTCGGCGATCAGGAATCGCACAAACTCCTCGAAGGTGGGTCCACATCGTGGCCAGGGTCCGCCCAAGTTCCGCTTCCGGTAGCGATGCACTATCTTGGTGCCCAGCGCCTTGTAGAAGGTGTTCTTGTTGCCCTCCAGCTTGTTGCGGTACGCACTCAATATCCGCTCGAAGGGATCGCGCACGAAGAGGAAGGACAACGCACTGGGCAGCAGCTCCATCAGTTCCGCCAGTTCCGGCCGCGGATAGCGCTTCCTCGCCAGCTCCAATGGCTGCGTCTCCGTCCGCTGCAGGAACCTCACATCGTAGCCGGCTGAAAAATAAATTACACTATAATGATTGGCTTTAAAAATATTTATCTTAGCTCTATAACTCATAAAATTGTCTTTTAAAATATTTTATTGCATCATGAAATAATAAAAATACTTAAAATATTAAAAAATATTTCTCATGTTTTTCTTTTAATTTAACCCAGCTGAACTATAATTAATAGTAAGTATTTTTATACACTTATTTATAAGTGTATTTATATTTTGATTGAAATCAACAATAATTTAGGCAAAGTTTTTCCCAATAATTTATAAAATAGTTATTTGCCTAATACAACAAATATATAGAAAATAAGTCAATTTAAACGTTTTGAAATTGGGCTTTTAAAATTTAAATGCAAGAGGTAATATAATATAAAATATTATTTTTAAAAACTATGGTACTTTAATGTACGATATTAATAAACTTAAAAAATGCCCCCGATTGATCGTGTTTCAATTGACAATTATGACAATTAAACAAATACGTTTGTTTCTAAGAATTATAAAAATAAAGTCATTAGGGTTTTTTTTAAATTATTTTTTGTATGACCTTAAGTCAGTAAAGAATCAAACTTTAAAATAAAGAAAATCTATTTATTATTATTTTATATATTAATAATTTTTTTATGGTTTATTTGAAATTTTATGCGTGATCCATTACTCACCAAGTATATTAAAGTAATACATCCACGTACTGCTTGCCGCCTTGAAGACATTGCACCTGAAAGTAATTCAGAAACAAAAATGTTAGGAAAGATAGGTCAGTTTTAGATAGAATTCCACTAACCAGACGAGATTATTGTGGCCGGGCGAGACGAAGAACTCCCAGGGATTCGGTGGATACTTCTCCTGCAGCTTGTAGCGCTCGCAGACGGCGGCCAGGTGTTCGCTCCTCCTTTGCAGTTCCCGCTCCGTGCGGCTGTGCAGCTCCTCGGAGTACTCGTAGACGGGATTGAGGGTGCTGGCCGGCGGAGGCGGAGGAACTGCAGCCACTGGCGATGAGCTCCCTGCACTGGCATTGCCCCCAGTGGTGGCCTTCTCCTGCTCCTTCTTGGCTAAGATCCGCTGGCGTGCCAGCTGCTGCCGCTTGAGTTTGAGCTGCTGCTTCGACGGCTCCGACTCCGCCTCCAGTTCGGCGGCCGTCGCCCGCTCCCGGTGCTCGTAGGCATTGAGGGACTCCCGGAAGAGGAAGGCGAAGTAGCACAGGCCCACCAGCACACAGGCACCTATCTTCAGATAGGTCTGCAGGCGTCTTCCATAGCGCAGGCGGATGAGCATCTTGCGAATCTACCGGTCAGTCCTGCAGCGATCACGCTGCATGTTCCATGGATTGGCGGTGGTTTCCTAGAGGGATTGCATTTTGGTTTATTTGCTGCTCTTTTATAAATCGCGATTTTAACAAAAAAACAGATCCCTCATTGATTATAAGTTTTATTAAGAGCCTTAGTTTTAAACGATTACCCTAATAATAAGAGTTATTAGGAGCTTTCTGTGGCCTTATATATTGCTTTAAAAATAAAAAAAGTTTTTTTTAATAATAATAATAATGAAAAAACGCAGCAAGCTTCCACGTAAGTAACAACTCACGAATTCTGTTTTGGATTTTGTTTTGCCCAAGTAACTGGCATTAATTTTTCAGCACCCCTCGGTTTTTGGCGCTTTTGGCCAGGCGACACTTGTTGGTGTGTACACACCAAAGACACCCTCGTCTACACACAAACATACAAACAGTCAGCACCAAAAAACAGGCCAACACACACACACACACACTCCCATTCCGACTTGGCAAACTACGTCATAGCCCGACACACACAGACACACATTTTGGCAAATGAAAAAAAAAAACACACTCGAAAAGTAGGACGTCATCCTTAAGCGTCAACATGGCCAAATGCAATTGCTGTTGTTGCTGAAGTTACTCTGTTGCTGTTGCTTTTGCTGTTGCAATGGTAATGTTGCCAAGGGGTCATTTCTGGCCAGGACTGGGAATTGGCCGCTGATATGTGGCACGAAGGCTGTAAAGTGTTCATCACACCGTGGAGACCACTTGAAAGCAGTTCAAGTTGGCCAATAAATACCACTTTCTGGCAATTAACACATATGTCCGCGTATTTATGGATCTTTATAGCTTAATACCATATGTAATCCCCATAGAGGATATGGCTAAACTTACCCAAAGCGGCGGACCTTTGCGAATATGTCTTTTCGTCGGGGGAGCTCCCTGTGTATACTGAAAGCCTACGGCTGCCCGTCTGCCTCTGCTGCTCCTGCTCCAGCTCCTCCTCCTGCCCCTCCTCCACCTGGGACCGCTCTGTGTTACGTGTTGCTCGCGCTGGCTCCGGGGAATCCTGATGCCTGCTCCGCTTCTGCCGTCCTGCTCACGGCGGCCACTCGCTCTCAACTGAAAGTCGGCGGACGGCCGCAGCTGCTGGTCCCTGCTGTTCCGACACAGCTCCACGGCAAGCCGACAATCCTCTCCAGGCGCCGGCGCAGAGAGAGCACTTCTACGACCACGACTGGGAGCACTGGTAGCACTGGGAGCAGTGAAAGCACTGGGAGAGAATAGCGGACCGTGGGAACGTTGATTACTGGCCACCGGGAAAAATCACAGGACCTTCGAAGGGGTCGCTATGTGATCATCATCGAAGAGTTCTATAATAATATAAATTATAATAAGAATGACAATGTTATTGTATAAAACTGAATTGTAAAAATGGAATACTATCATATAATGATACTTTAATCTTTTTTATTTATACCTTCCATTGTTTGAATTTAAATCCGAAAGCTGAAGGAACCATTTTTTAACAGGTTTTAAGGTTTTTGTAATAATAATAAGTTTTAAGATGTATGATACAACTGTCATAAATAATCACAAAATGGGGTTTAATAAAAATGAAAAAAAATAATTGCATGAAGTAGTTAAAAAATAAAAATTTTGTCTATTGTAACTTGCAAATCCCCAATTATTAAAATTCCGAGGTTTTTTTTATTTTTTGTGTATATTAAATCTTTGTATTTTTTCTTTTTCTATAAATATTTTACTTTAAAGTACAAACAAATTAATAATAAACTTCTAATACTACGTTTTAAGACACTTTCGTTTTTTGTTGTTGTTGTTCATCTTGTGTGGTTTGTTTTAAATATTTAAATATATCATTTATTTGTTTGCGTGTGTGTTGTTGGTTGCCGTTTGTTTACGAAGCAGTATATAAATTATTTATACGTTTTATACAACATTTCCATTAACGTGTTTTCCTGTTTGCTGTGCTTATCGGGCTGGCTTATTGCAGTTGCTGTTGTTGTTGGTGTTGATTTGTTGTGGCTGTCCGAAGTGTTGAAAAAAAACAAGGTTCACTAAACATGCTTCAATTTTCGACGCTGCATTTGCCTTTTTCATTTCTTACGGGGCCCGTGGCTGGCTGGTGTTTGTAGAATGCATTTATGGATCCGGGTTCTATATACGTTTAGTTTAGCGGTTCTATATGAATATATGCAAGTTATGCTAGGGGTTGGGTTTTACATACGCTTATGCTTTGTTTTGCCTTGCTTTAAAGTAAACATGTACAAAGTATCAAAAGAATTATTTTATGTAGCAATCATACAATATATATAAGGTAATAATAATATTGAACAATATATAATGTTGTTTTGTGTTTTTGTCTAGCGCTTTGCCTTTGCTTTGCTTTGCTTCAATTACTTTACTCTTTGTTTTCCCCTATTTGTTCAAATAACATTTAGCAAAAATAGAGCCTGCCTTATATACAATACAACTTTTTTGTTTGTGTGGTTTGTTTTTGTTTGTTTTTTTTTTCACGATATCCCTTTTTCTTGTGTGTTTTGCATATGCAAAATATATAACATTATATAGTTCTTTCTCACTTTGCAAAACGACAAATACTAGGCGACTGATTCTCAATATTCTCCATTCTCTTCTCCTTATATGTTTTTTCGATCTGTTTTTTTTTTTGTATTTTTTTTTTTTGTAGGTTTCTGTGTTTATAATTTTTTGTGGTGCTTGGCCTTTTTACATTTTTGACTAACTTATTGCATAGGTTTCCATGTGCATATATTGTGGTAAAGAATTCTCGTTAAGATTACTGTCCTTAGGCTAGAGCATTTAAAACTAAAAAACAAATTTTCGAAACAACGCAAGCTTACGGAAACTAATACGCTATATCTGTATGTACTGTATTCATAAGTTTGAAGGTTACAAAAAATATATAAAATCTAAAGTTAACGTGCGGTCTGCTCTGATCTGATCTGATCTGCTCGATCCAATGGATCAGCTTCTTATAGACTTTCGACTGGGCGCAGCGCGTAAAAGTAAGAAAACCTAAAGCTAGAAATGTGTGTGTGTTCATGTTGCATCGTAAAGAATCTAAATATTTACAGAGCGGTCCATGGAAATAAGATTTTTCAAATTAAACTATGCATGCGTGAGAGAGTGTTCGCGTGGGGAGATGTTTTTTGTTTTGTTTCAGTTTCTGTTTCAGTTTCAGTTTCAGTTTCAGCCAACTATTCTACGTTAGTGTTAATGGGAGCTTCTCAAATACGTACTCAACTAATTTGTTCAAAATTTCATCTTGTGAGCTATACATTAAATTGCCTGTTTCACTTGACTAGCAAATCATTTCCAATGGGTGGATACTTGGGGAGCAGCAGTTAGCAGTTAGCAGTAGTGCCAGATGAGAATGGTGGCATATAGGCGGATAAACTCGGACTTTGGGGAGCAGAAAACAAAGTGTAAACAAAGTTAATCGGCGCTTGCAACCGTCCGTCTGCGGTGTGTGTGTGTGTGGGTTTGGGGTGTGTGTCTGGGTGTGTGTGTGTGTCTGGGTGTGATGTTGCTCGCTTTGAGACGCAACATTATTGCAACTTGTGGCTACCACTAACTATACAAAAATCCTCAACGGAAACTAGGCCTAAGAACTACAAACGAAAGCGTTCGGTATCAGTGCGTGTGTTATATACAAGTAGCCGTCCGTGATCCGACTTCACTACGCCAGCTGCGGCGAACTGCTGCTGGCGGAGCGCTGCTCATCCGCCGTCGTCGTCTCGCTGGCAAACTCCTGGAAACTCAATCCCAAATCGTTGTTTAGCTGCACGATGTTGAGTACGTCGCTGGCATCGCGCCACGTGGGCTGGTGTTTGCTAGCCATCCCGCCGCTGCCACCACCTCCTCCACTGCCACTGTCGTCCTCCTCGCTGAGGATGTTGTTCAGGCACAGGTTGAACTCATCGTAGTCGACAAAGTTGCCGCAGTCCAGGGCCGTGGCATTGGCCAGCTCCGGCATCAGCACCTCGTCCACATCCACGTCCGCGGCACTGCTGCTGCTGTGATAGGACAGCAGGTGATCGGCCTCCTCCATGTAGCCGCCGGCTGCTCGCGCCATATGCTCATACTCGGCGGTCTCGTCGCCATCACCATCACCGTCATCGTCACCGTCACCGTCCTGCGCCTGGGCTAAAGGAAAGCTGCTGCTGCTATTGTTGATCTCCAGCTGCTGCTGCTGCTGTTGTTGTTGCTGCTGCTGCTGCGGCTGATGCGACTGCTGCTGTTGCTGCTCAAAGTCTTCGAATAGCTCCAGCAGATCGTCGTCGTGCGCATCGCTCGGATGGTTCAAGCCTTTAGCCAAGGCGCAAAACTCTGGTCACTTGTAGTCACGCGACGTTCTTCTCCGGCGTCCCTCGGTCAACATGGACTCGCCAATGACTGCAAAAAAGGGAGGAGGAATGTCATTAGAGACAACTAATCTTTGTTCTTAAAAAAAGAATTTAAAAAATGAAGCGCATTGCAATCTTAAGTTCTTTCTAATCAAAGTAAATTAGCAACTAAGGCTAGTAACCAAAACAATTTGATTCCTGCTGTATTTATATATAATTTTTCATTGAATTGTTTATAGTTTACATTTGATTTAACTTTGTTTGCAATCTAAAATTAAAATGGACTTTTTAAGACTTTTTAAGAGGATAGCTGCAAGCTAAAGTACATACTTTCTAATAAAGGTCAATATCCAGAACTTTTCGATTCGTACTGTACATTTTTCCTTGAATGGTTTTTAACTAATTTAGTTAACTCATTACTTCATTGATCTCACTCCTTTTAACTTTTTTGTAATCTAATAATGAAATAGACCTATCAAGAATTTTTATGAGGAGTTAAACTACTTTCTTATTAAAGTAGGTAAGCAATAAAGGTCAGCAACAAGAACTATTTGATTCTTTATATTTTTTAAGTATGAATTGTTTTTAACCAAATAAGTAAATTTAATTTTTTCTTAAGTCTTCCTATTGATTTAGTTTTTTGATCTATTAATTAAATGGGAATATCCAGACTTTTTAAGACAACTGCAAACTAAACTACTTTCTAATCAAAGTTGGTTAGCAATAAAGATCAGAAACGATAACCATATAGTTCTTGCTATATATAGTTCGTTATTCTCATTCCTTGCTTAACTTTCTTTTGATCTATGGAGTAGTGGACAACTCACCTGCACTGCGCGTCTTTCGCCTTGCTTCCGCGACGCTTTCCACACTGCCGGCGCTGTTGCCACCAACTGCTGCTGCCGCCTTGCCAGGCGTTCCCTTCGGCTCTGCCGCGGCGGCGGCTGCTGCAGCAGCGGCGGCTGCATTGCTGCGGCTGTAGATGATCTTGTTGGCAGCCGCACTGGCTCGCACGCTCCGCCGAGTGCCGATCTTCTCGTCCGTGGGCGAACTGGCTGAGGTGGCATTGTTGTTGGTGGTGCTGGCTGCCGCTGCGGTGGCTCCTCGTGTGGCATGCACCACACTCGTGCTGCTGTTGGTTTGGCTGTTGGTGACCAAAGCTCCGCCCGGCATTGTTGTGGTGGCCACTGCCGTGCTGGACACAACACTGGGATTATTGGAAGTCCCACTGCTGTGATTGCTGCTGCCGCCGGCGGTGGCACTTCCAATTGGCGCTTGAGCCTTGCCCGTCCTCGGTGTTGCAAGTGGTGGAGTGGCAGACAGAGCGTGATTGCTGGCCGTTTCTAATGGAGAGAATAGGGTTAGTGATTATTAATAAGTTTGTTATATGGGAATTTATAGTTACTTACTGACTAACTAACTAATTAAATTGTTAACTTGCAAACGTATATCTACATTATTTTTAAATTTAAAAATAATTCCATTTTGTGCCCTTTTGAAATTGCAATATGCTAAACATTAACAGTTTCATAAATCGTGATAATATTGTTTGTTCTACAAATTCCCAAACTTCACTCTCTTATCTTAAACGATAGCAAATAAGCGTTTTTAAACGCATGCAAAGTATTTAAATGCACATATATTTTATTTCCTTTTTTAAGACCTGTTTTTAGTTGTTAGTTATACTTTTAAGATGATGAAAACCTTAATGCAAATCTAAAGAATGGCATCTAAGCTATATTATCCGTCACAAGAAAATCAAATTTAATTAAAACCTTAAATTTTGTATATTTTAAGATAAATCTGTTATAAAATAATTTAATGCTCATGAGACTGCACCACAAAACACTGTTGTGCAGTGTTATTTTATGCAGTGTTATTTTATAAGTTTGCATTATGAAAATCAAGGGTTTTAAAGAGCTTAAAAAATAATCACATTTTGAGCCCCCTTCGAATGGCAATATGCTAATCAATAACCTAACTTTTTGCCTAGTCATGTTTAATGGTAGCTGCCCCGGATCAAAGTCCACTTACTGTTCTGTGGCGGTTGTAGCTGCTGTGCATTCCTCCGCGTCACGTGCTTCTCCACTGCCGCTGCTGCTGCTGATGCTGCTGCTGCCGCATCGGCTGCTGCATCCACTTGCGCCTGTTTGGAGTTGCGCACCTTGCCGGCCACCTCGATCAGCGGCTCATCGGAATCGGATGACTCGATCTCGATCTTCTTGGGCAATCCTGCACTGGAGTTGTGCTCGACGGCAGCTTCTGTTGCATTGTTGCTGGTGGTGGATTGAGTGCTCCCGTTACCGCTGCTCACACGTGGACGCTTGATGCTGTTCTCGGCCAAATCGGCGCCATCATTGCTGCTGCCGCACTCGGATTCCTGTCGCCGTCGCTTGCTGTTGTTGTTGTTGTTGTGATTGGGTGTGGGTGTGACCACACGGGGACTGGCGGTGGAGGAGGCGCGGGATAGACTCTTGGCGGTGCTGGGCGTATTTGCAGTTGCCGTCGCCGTCGCAGCTGTGGCTCCAGTGAGCAGTGTGGGATCGGGACTCGTTTTCGGTGCATCCAGCGGACTCTCCAGGCGACTGCTGGCCCGCGTCCGAATCCGCGGCGTTTCACCATCCACCTGGGCAGGTATCTCGATCGAAATGGGCTGGAGGGAGGCTGAATTGGACTCGCCCTGAGGCTTCTCCTGCACCTTCTCCTCCGACTTGGGCTCTGCCTTCGGTTCAGCTTTGACCTCCACCTTGGCCTCCACTTTAAGCCCACTTACTACCGCCTTAATCGCCGGCTCCTTTTTGATTGTGAGCAGCGGGGGCATCTCCTCCAGCTTCACCTTGATCGCCGGTGGTTTGCTCTCTGTGAGTTTCTTGATGAGATCATCGTGTTCGAGTATATGGTGTTCGCCATTCAACTTGACGCTTCCTAAGCTATTTGTGTTTGTGGTTGCAGTTGCTGCCGCAACAGTTGCCGCTGGCAGCGAGTTCTCCAGGCTGTTTAGGTAACCACCACCACCACCACCTGCAGCACTGGCACATTCACTAGTCTCCTTTATCATCGACGAGACAATGTCCTCGAGATCCTCGGGAAAGTCACCCTCCATCTTGGCCAGCGCCTTCTCAATCTCGTCATCCGCCTGCTGTTTTTGCTGTTGTTGCAGGGAACTGGCTCCAGTTAGAGGTGGTGCTCCAGCTCCAGTTGCAGTGGCTCCCACTGGCGTTGCAATCACAGGTGGCATCACCGTCGTGGCAGTTGTTGTGGCCATGGTGCTCGTCTGCTGCTGCTGCTGTTGCTGCTGCTGCTGCGACACCATCGTCATCGCCGCCGTTTTGGTCACCTGAATGGGACTGCTGGAGGAGAGCTGATGGGGACTCTTCTCGGAGAGCGCATCCATGGACTCAATGCCGCTATCCTCGCCACCGCCATTGTTGCCGTGACCCGGTGTCCCACTCCCATTGCTGGCGGGTGAGTTGCGCAACGTGCTGGGTAACGCAGCCGGCGATGAGGTAGAGGTGGTGATTATGGATGCGGAGGAGGAGGACGAGGACGAGGAGGAGGCTGTGGACACCGAGGATAAGGTCTGCAGGGAGGCCGACGAGGTGTTCACCACATTGGTGGCCACCACATTGACATTCACATTCACATTCACATTGTTGACGTTGACTGTGGTCATGGGTGGCATGGCCACTGGCAACTTTCTATCACAGATCAGCTGAGTTGTTTGCGTAGTGGGCGTTGACGATGTTGCTAGAGTTGATGATGCTGCTGCTCCGACTGCTGCTGCTGCTGCTGTTGTTGGTGCTACTACTACTGGGGATTGGGTTATACTAGGAGCCTGCTCTGCCGTGACCTGCGGCGGGACCTTTGTGATCTCCACACGCTTGAGGGTCGTCGCACTGGGCAACATGGTTACGGCCGCCGCCAGTTGTCGCTGCTGTTGCTGCTGCTGTTGTTGCTGCTGCTGTTGCTGCTGCTGTTGTTGCTGCTGCTGTTGTTGCTTCTGCAGCTGCAGCTGTTGCACGGCTGTGATGTATGGCGGCGGCTTATGGTTTTTTGTCATCGGCTTGCCACCCACAATGGGTGTGATGGTGGCGGCAGTCTTAATCGGGTTCTTCATCGTCAACAGCCGATTGTTGTTATTCCCGCTGTTCACATTGTTGTTATTGTTGTTGTTGCTGTTGATGGCACTCAGGGTAATGCTGCTGGGCAACGAGGTGGCTATCTTGCTGAGCTGCTGCTGCTGCAGTGTGGTGGACGTGGGCGTTGTGCCCGTGTTCGTGGATCCCACAATCAGCTGAGGTTCACCCAGGGATTGGGCCTGCGCTTGGGCCTGAGCCTTGTGCGCCTCCACAATGGCACTAATCGTCAGTCCATTCTTGCCCGCCACAATGGTGGTGGTCGTGGCTCCTCCGCTCTGCAGATGCTGCGACATTTGCGATGGTGGTGCCACCGTCGCCGTCGTCTTCTGTATCAGTATGGGCAATCCGTTGACGTGGGGCGGTGGCGTCAGCTTGACCTGCTTGTTGTCCGTCACCGCATCCATGAGCAATTGCTGCGGCGGCTGATCGCTAAAGCTGCGCTTCAGCTGTCGCTCATCAATGGTTGCCTCCTGATTCTGTCCCTTCTTTCGATCTTTTCGCGTATTCTTGACCACCACATGGTTCTTGCCGCGCAAACGGATTTGCAGGGGAGGCACACGAGGCTCATTGAGACCAGGGACAGCCTGTTGTTGTTGTTGCTGCTGCTGCTGTTGCTGAAAGTTGCTGTAGACCGGATGGTGTTGTTGCTGTTGAAGCGATTGCTGCTGCTGCTGTTGTTGTTGTTGTTGTGGCTGAAGCTGAGATGGTTGTTGCTGTGGCAGATGTTGTTGTTGTTGTTGTTGTTGCTGTTGGGTTAACTGCATTTGAGGTTGCTGCAACTGTGGCGTTTGCTGCTGCTGTTGTTGTGTGGGCAACGTCAACAGTTGCGTTTGCATGGGCAACTGTTGCATGTGATTATTGACCACTATGGTCTGCTGTTGCTGCTGTTGATTGACAACTATCTGCCCCTCGTAGCCAGCTCCCGCTGCCGGCAACGTTTCCACCTTGTCCAGCTTGAGACGCAGCTTGATCTTCTCCTCGGCCGCCTTCGTCTTGGCATTGCCCTTCGCCCGCTCTCGCTTCGGCTTCGGCGTGGCCGCGGGATCCTTGGCCTTGCGCTCCTTTACGCCCTGCTGCAGCTTTCCGCGCAGCAGATTCGGCTTGGCCTTCTTGCTGGGCGCTCCACTGGCTGTCACGGATTGGGGCGAATTCAAGCCAATCAAGGGCGAACTGTTGCTGGAACGAGGCGAATTGTCACCCGCATTCAAGTTGCTGTGATTCGCTTTCGAGACTGGAGTTTTCCTGGCTCTGCTGGAGGCCGATTTGTTGGATGCCAGGGAATCGCGTGATCTTTCCTGATCACTGCTTATCGCCATCGGATGCTGTTGCGCCGAATTCGAGTCCTCCTCGGAGAAAATATTGTTGGGCAGAAGCATATCGTTGGCGGGATTAAAATTGAAGCTGCTCAAACCACTGGACATGTTGCTGTTGCGGAATTGCGGCTGTGCCGTTTCCTCCTCCGCCTCCGTTTCGCTATCGTCGCTGGCCATTGGTTCCATGTCCCCAGTGTGTGGATTAATGATAAATTGCTTCTGGGGCGGTCTCTGTTGCTGCTGCGGATGCTGCACTTGCAATTGTGCCTGTTGCTGCTGCTGTTGCTGGCGCTGTACCAACTGCAACTGTTGTTGCTGCTGCTGCTGTTGCAGTTGCATTTGTCGCTGCACCTGTTGCTGCTGCTGGCGCTGTTGCAACTGCGGCAATTGTTGCTGCTGCCTCTGCTGTTGTTGCAGCATTAGTTGCTGTTGCAACTGCTGCTGCTGTTGTTGTTGTTGTTGCTGCTGCTGCTGTTGGTAGGGCATTTGCAGAATTTGTGGTGTCTGCTGCATAACCACCGCCTGTGGTTGCTGCTGTTCCAGTGGCGTCTCTTGCAGCGTATTCAACGCATCCCTCACATCCATATCCACTGCCGATAGATTGTCTTCGATCAGATCCAAATCCAGATCCTTGGCATCCTGCAGCAGCGATTCGAGCTCGTTTTTATCTTCCAGACTGAGCGTCGAGTCCAGATCACAGTTCAAAGTGGGCAGCAGGGCGTCCAAGTCGTTTGTGGTTAAGGCATCCAGCACGGAAAGCGACATCAGCGAATCCACTTGACCTTGAGCCTGACCCGCAACCTGTGGCTGTTGACCTTGAACCTGCTGTTGCTGTTGTTGCTGCTGCTGCTGTGTCGGCAGCGCGGGAGGCGGCAACTGTTGCTGCTGTTGTCCCTGCTGCTGCTGCTGCTGCTGTTGCGGCTGTCCTGGCAAATTGACCTGTTGCTGCTGCTGCTGAAGATTGTACTGCATCTGGTAGCGCGTAAACTCCTGGAAACTGCTCTTCGTGGCCGAGTCCATCGGCTTATTGATTCCGGCCAACGGCCAGCGAGAGTTGGCTGCCGCCTGATTGTAATCCGGTGGCGGCGCTGCAGGTACATGGTGAGTGGCTGGCATAAGTGATCCCGCCAGTTCGCTAGGAGCCGAGGATCCAGGCGTCGGGGCAGGCGACACCATCTGCGGTTGCTGCTGCTGCTGCTGTTGCACCGGATGATTTGCCATTAGCGGACTGTGCATCGAGTGATGGCTGGAGGCGGGCGAGAGGGCGGGTCCAAGGGGCGAGGCTCCGCTCATGAATTGCTGCTGTGGTGATGCCTGTGGCATGGACAAGCTCATGAGTCGCTGCTGCTGCTGTTGTTGCTGTTGCTGCTGCTGCTGCGGATGAGGTGGCGGAGGAGCCAGCGGCAGTCCGCCAGGTCTCAATTGATGTCTTATCTGTTGCTGTTGCATTGGACTCATGCCCATGTTGTTGAAACAATCTGTTTGGGGAAAGAAGAAAGAGTTCAATGCATATTCTATGGGGGTTTACAAGGGCCTTTAAGACGCTGATGCCATTACTTATTAATCAAACTATTTCATCAGGTCTTAAGGCTAAATGAAGTAGACTTACCAGGCGCAGGCTGAAACTGTTGCTGTTGTTGCTGCTGGCCCTGCATTTGCTGCTGCGGTTGCATGAATCGCAGCTGCTGTTGGCGCTGAAGTTGCTGCTGTCGCATGGCCACAGCCTGCGGCGACATTTGCTGATGTTGCTGCTGAAAGCGATGCGGTGGTGGTCCTTGCGGCTGTTGTTGTTGCTGCTGTTGCTGCTGCTGCTGAGCCTGCTGTTGCTGTTGAGTATACAAATGATTGCCATTTCCGCTAGGACTGAGCATTGCCTGCTGCTGCTGCTGCAGACTCCTCATGACCACGGGCGGTGGACAAGGAGGAGCCGCCGCCTGGGGCGTTGTGGGTGAGGAAGGCACCACCGGACTCAGCACATCGCCCATAAGGAAATCACTGGGCGTCGCCGGACCGGAGGACCGCATGGGGGAGTTCATCATCTGCGCTCCACTGGGACTCAAGCCAATCAGCGGCGATTGCTGCTGCTGCTGTTGCGGCGACTTGAGCTGGTTCGGATTCGACATGGCATTGCCGTCGTTTTGCAGCAGATTGACCAGCAGCGGTGACGATATGGCAATGTTGTTGCTGCCCGTCGACGTGGCCGTTGGCAGCGGCGGATGCCCCAGCGGATGGTTCAGCTGGCTGGGTGCCGTCACAATGGCCGGCTTGGCACTGACGCCCGCTATGGCAATGGGTGAACTGACGCTGCTGGCCGTGCCGGCAGCTCCCAAACCCGGATATGGCGGCGGTGGTGGCTGGATGAATTGAGATTTGCTACCCGGCGGCGTAGGTGTGGCCGAAGTTGGCGTCGTTGGTGTAAGCTCGCCATTCTGAGCTGCCTGCGGTTGTGTCTTCAGCACCTTGAGGGTCACGTTGGGTGGCGGCGGCGGCGGTGGTAAGGGCGGACCCAGACCACCTGCCTCGCGACCTTGCAGCACTCTCGCCTGCCGCATGCTCTCGAAGGGGAAGTCCCTCTGTGTGGCGGAGGGCGAGGGCAACAGGAGAGGCACCTTGCCCTCCATGGGGCACACGGTATTGGGGGATTTGAAGACAGCGGGAGTCACGGGAGCCACCTGCTGCTGCAGTTGTTGTTGCTGCTGCTGCTGCAGTTGTTGTTGCTGCTGCTGCTGCTGCTGCTGGAGGGGAATCTTTTGAAGGCCCGCCGCTCTTCTTTGCTGGAGTGAGATTGCATCGTTCTGGGGCAGCTGCAGAATCCTCTGCTGCTGCTGCTGCTGTTGCATGAAGGCGGAGGCCGCCTTGCTGGTACTGGGGCCATCGAATCCCGTGGCCAGCAGACCACTTTTGTTGCCGGAAAGCGAGCCAGCCGCCTCAAGTGTCTCGTTTACATTATCTGGGGGATAGGGATTATTCGTATCACTTTGGATTCTTTTGGGGTATGACTTATTGCTACTCACCCTTGGTTATCTTAATATCTTGTCCACCAACTTTCAAATTTATCACAGAATCGCCCTCGAATTGCACGGTCTGAATGTTGAGGGCGCGCAGCTCGGGATTTCCATCGTTGGCCAGCTGACGCAGCCGTTGTGCTGCATCCCAGGGTAGCGAGACCAATATCCGCACCAGTGACGGTTCAAGCTGCTGCAAAGGGTCACAAATGTGAGACATTTTGCTAATTCACAGCATTTAATTAACATTTAAGGAGAGCCTTATAGGAAGAGCAAGAAGAAGAAGAGGTCCAAGTGAAATTGCTGGCGATGGGCATTATATCGATAACAACTATCGGCTAAAGACATGTAGCCCTGGCACACCACACACACACAAACACACACACGCAAGCTCAGGCACACAATAATTTATGGGGAAAACACATTTCCAAACTTCAACATTGCTATTTAATAAAATCAACAACTTTCTAATCTATTATTTATTTCAAATTTAATTATTTTAAAGGATAGTTATTGCCAGTTGCCCATTTGTTTTTGGCCCTGCCGTTTCTACTGTTAGAGTGGGATGGCTATAGGACACACTCGTTGGAAATTCCAACAACAATTTGTTTCGACAACAGGAATTAAGATTTAAGCGCTTGAATTAAGTAACCGAAATGGCTTTTCAGCTGACTGTATTTTCCACGCGCGGTGGTGGGGGAAAGGGGGCGGGGCATCTGCTGCCCACAGGTTGCATTTTCACATGCGTGCGTGCGTTTTCCCTGCAACGTCTCGTTTTCTTCCTCTCTTTCACGCTCAGCGGGATGTTATCGATACCCCGACGTCGTCGCCATTTTTCTTCTTGGCCTCTTGGAAGAGTGTGTGTGTGTGTGTGGTGGGTGTACAAGTGTGTGTAGCAGAGGGAAAAGGTAACCAAAATACTTGCTTGGAATTAAGGCGGGGGGTAAAAAGGGGGCGGGCTGATTAATAAAGTATAAAAAAGGGGAATTGGGAAAAAAAGGGAAATAAGAAATTGGAAACACTCAAAAGCAAGAAATTAGTTACCCCTCTTATTGTTTTTGTTTTTATCCCCCGTTTGGTGCGTGGGTGACGCAAGTGTACAATGGGAAAAAACAAAAAAAAGTGCAATAATCGCAAATCAGCTGTTCTGTTGCGCTTAATAACCGAAACGACGGAAAATCAACTCACCTGTTTAAGTGGCATATCATCACACGACAATCGCACGCGTCGTATATTTAATTGTTAGAACGCTGCTCAATTCTCGCATTTAGCTTTCGATTGACCGCCGTGGCGTCCTTTTGGAAATTGGAAATATTGCATTTTAGGCATAACACTCGATGGGTTTTGATTTATTGTCTTTCGTTTATTTCCCCCCACTAGTTTTTTTAACCTCTGCGACTTTTGTTTTTGGGCATTTTCCACTATTTTTTTTTCCTCTTTACTTTTTTTAGTAGTAGCCTCACCAACACACACGCACTGCAACACACACACACACACGTGCGGGGCGCGGATAGGGATTTTCCTGCGTCACTTTTCAAGCGCTTTTCCTGCTGAAAATCTCGCCTGCCCGCCTGCAGATTAATGTTCAGGGCAATTCGTAGTTATAATAGCCCCCACTGTTCTCCATTTCACATTTGGCAGTGCAATATTAAATGCCTTTTTAGCGGGTCTCGAAAATTTTCACGCATTCGGAGCAGCCGATTTTCGGGGGCTTAATTTCACACGGTTCGCTTGCGTGCGGGCAACCGATAAGCGCACTCAATTGTTGAGAAAGATTCGCGCTTGCTTTTCAACGATTAATTAACGCTACAGCGGTACGTTTCTTCTGTTTATTTTGTACAAAAAACTTCGTAATTATTAAAATTCCACGAACAATAACAAGCACACAGTGGTAGCCATTTTTATTTTCCAGCCGGTGTTGCCAGTCGGTTGGGCGGTGAAATTACCTAAATTTGCCGGCCTTTGGGGTTTCCAGGGATGCATAGCGACCAGCATTGGAAATTATGCTCGAGTAGGGTTGTCAGGTTATGCTGTTATATCGTACAATTTCTTTTTAATTATTAAGGTAGTGTTTTTCAAATAAATAAAATTTAAGAGAAATTCCACTGTGCATGTAAAAATATATATGTTTTGGTTATATATTGTTGGTATTAATTTGAAATTCAATAATATTTTTAGAATATAATAAACGTTGCCTTTTAATTCAGCCCTCTGACAGGCATCGTAAGTAAATACATTATTGTCAAATTAATTTTCTATATATTTAATTTATAACAGCTGCATATTTTGGTGTGACCATATTTAAAGTACTATAATTTTTAGAGATGGTAGAAGTTAGATGACTGCTGCCAATTATCGATTTTCACCTATGTTTTAAAAACATCGATGACACTAATATAAATATCGCTGTTTCTGCACCTCTATCTCTGACAAATTCTGCAAATGTGAGTACATAACAAGGTTTTTCGTTTTAAAACCATTTCTAAAGGGTTTTTTGGAATTATTGTAGAGTAATTTGTTGATTTTCTTCGATCCCCTAAATAGTTAAACAGTTGGCAGAAGCGACGCAACAGTTTTTATACGTTTTCTGCCAACTGCCTTTAAACCCCTTACGTAACTACAGAACAATATAATCGATTTGAGTGGTTTTTCCTTAGCAGCAAGATGACCAACGCTCCAGCAACCTCCAGTGTGGCAGGACCCGTGCTCCGTGGCCTCCACAATGCCACCATTAAGAGGAACCTGGCCATTTCTCTGGGATTGACCGCCATTATCACCGTCGCCTACAAACTGATGGTCAACGATCCCAAGAAGGCCGCCTACGCCGAATTCTACTCGTAAATATTACTTCCATGTACTCTATGGGTCACCAACTGATCGGTTTATTCCTAATCCTTTCAGGAAGTACGATGCCAACAAGTCCTTCGAGCGCATGAAGGCCGCCGGTCGTTTCCAGTCTTGTTAAACTAGGCAATCCCCACAAAACACATGTAGTCTAAGTCAAAAAGATGTTGAAGAGCAAGTGTTACGCTTCTGTATTGAAAACTAAATAGATTTCAGTCTACTTATGTGCGCGAAGCTGTTTTAATTTGGCTCTATAGGCTATGGTTTTCATAGTCAACCTACAATCTACTAGTTTTAAAAGCAATAACCTCTATCTACTCCTGGTTTTATAAATTGCCCCTATGATTTCCTGCTTCCAAAAAACGAAAAAGCAAAATGATTAATAACTCAATTGTTAGGATTTTTGATTACCTATTCAAACCTTAATTCCTATATACAATATATTAATTCTATATAATTCTTCTATAAATCAATGGTTTTTTCAAAAAAGGAATATTAGAATAAGTAATATTATAAAAGGTATAACTCTTAAAGTTGAATTTCAAAACATCTTATCAGGGTTTTTCCTTTTCCTTCCTTATAATGGTTTTCCTTAAAGAGTTTAACTCAGAAGAGAAAATTGCTTCAAAAACCAAATCAAACCAATTTTCAAATCCAATTATTATTACTTTCTTTATTATTTAATCGTATTTACAAACTTATTGAAGTAATGCACATAACAAACACACAAAACCATAATGCCGCACTCGATGTGTTGGGCGGAAAGACAACTAAAACCTAATAGCGAAGTCCTTGTAATCCAGTCGGCTGAGATTTCCCTGGTTCCGCAGCTCACAGCGATCGATTTGGCAGCCGGGGGATCCTTCGCTGGACAACCAGGTGATCCTGTGAGGAGAAATACATCAAGGATAACTCTTGGAAAGCGTAATCTATTCCAAATTACATACATCTTGTCCACCTCCTCCTTGGGACCCTGCATTTTGCCCACAATGGTGCCCTGTTTGCTGTTCTTCACCCAGCCCATGATTCCCGCCTTAACGCAGCGATCGCGGGTGTCTTTCGTGAGATTCAGGCCTGTCGGTCAAGATATCAGAGATATATATTTCTATATGGTCTAGTGCGTGTGGAATGGGGCGTGAAACAAAGCCAAGGACAAGTGTGGGGGCCCCAAAGTAACCAGCTACTGCGGGTTTATTTTTAGCCATCCACCAGAAAGAGCACTTGGGTTTCTAGCCCCCGATTCCTGATCCTAATCCCAATCCTCCCCTGAAACGCACCTTGCACATGTCCATAGACCTCAAAATCCAGCGTCACCAACTGCCGGATGTCCGGAATGCCCATTTCGATTGACTTCAAAACTTTACCAAATTCGCACTTTTGGTTATGTAAATTTTTCCTTTCCTTTTTTTGGCAACTTATCCGTTTTAAAATTATCACAAATGAGCCTTAAAATCTCTAGATTAACTGGAATCCTTTATTTTATATTTTTTAAATTTATTATTTCTTTTAATTTGCGATTTTTTTCCGCCGCGATCGTTCGATTTTCAACTAACCGTCGCAAATTTAAAACTAAAATGCCAAGTAGCATATCAATTGCTTTCTATTTTGCGTTTTCGATTTGTATTTGCGTATTTATTTTAGCCGCACGTTGCATTCTGCCTCTTTCTAAATGTCTTTTTGTTATTTTATTTTAGAGAAAAGAAAATACAAATTATATGGGAATCTTTGGGGCTGTCACAGGCAGCTGAGTTTTGTGCTCAGTATTTGGTTTTTGAGTGCACTACATTGGAATTTAAAATTTGTCAATATTCATTAAGGTATCTAAATGTAACATGTTTATAACTAAGCACCCTTAAAAAGCTTTCAATTATTTATCAACGTTAATCATATTTTATTTCAGATATTTTCCAGATTATCCATGATGTATTTAGTAAATTGTATATATATAAATATATATATTTGCAAAACCAAAAGTCTTTAAAGGCAAACCAAGTTACCAGATACATATACCCCATAAGCAACCATTAGCTTTACATATAGCATCAAAATCATACGATTAGGGTATTTATTCTATCTGTGGCTGCACATTGCTCAGTTTAGCAATAAAATTTAGAATTTTTTTCGCCTCAATGCATTGAACCAAAACAATGCATAGACTTTGTTTCTGGGACCCCTTCGATTTCGCTTTCTATATAATCCGCCTTTCAGCAATGTGAGGAATGACAAGTTCATAGCAGGCACAAAAGATGGGCCATGAGACTTTTATAAGACCAGACGAAAAGTGCATCTTATTTATACTTTTCTTCGATGAAAGGGAAATTTAATTTATCAATGCAATGTCTACACACAGTGTGAAAAGGTGTTATCCTTGTGTAGGTATTTGTCCTCGTCACAAAGCGGAAACCCAGAAAATAAAAATAACATTATATAGTCTAAATATAATCCACTGAATTAAGTATGTAAATAAATTATTTAATTTATTTTAGATTATAATTAATGTCTGCAAAAAATTAATAAAATTAAAAAAAAACTATTTAGGAAAAAAATTATACATAAAATAGTTTGTATAAAGAAGAATTTCGATATTTTAAATGAATAAACATAAAATTTTAATTGAATAAATAGGGACCTCTTGCCATTGGTTTGTCACTCGATATATATTTTTTTCATCCCCATTCAAAATTGCATTTCGATATTGGTTATATAGTATTTACAAATTTATTTCTTTGTTTATTGCGATATATGAAAATACCAATGTACAATGTTTATACGCTTAGTTGATTGGGTGAGGGTTTTTTCGTTACCAGGCTACATTTTTAAACACAGACCTGTAGTGGAAAATGCAAATATACTTATAATCTAAATACGTCGATCCTTAGATCTTTCTGTACAGCTTGGGATTTGGGATCGGGACTACATCTATTGGGTTAATGCTAAACATCTGACTCTTAAGTAAGCTCGGTAGGATTAAGCTTAGGCGATTAAAACTAATTTAACATCTAGACATAGAAACGATATTAACGACAACAAGTGGGCCAGGAATGGTCCGACGCGCCGGATCCCTAAACGATCTGCACGGCGGGATGTGGCTTCTCGATGAGACTGCTCTGCGCCTCCTTGTCCTTTTCCGCATTCCGGCCGAGTGAGGCGTGCTCCGGTTTTAGATAGTAATGCGGCGGTGGCGACTGCGAAGATGATGTCGTCTGATTGGCACACTTCTTCCGGCGTTCGCGGAGGAAGTGCAGCCGCACATAGTTGATGGGTATATCGACACTATCGGCGCCCACGCCCTCGGCATCGATGAAAACCCCACGCACCAGGATGGAATTGGAGCACTTGAGGGCAGCGAGGAGCAGGAATGGCACTAGGTGCGTCAGCCAGAAGCTCAGCAGCCTGTTATCTGTAGCGAAAAAAAGATAAATAATTAACACTGAAAACTCGCAATTATATTATCCAAATTAAATGATTTTTAAGAGATAACTAAAGAGATAATATATTTTAACAAAGTAAATATATAAGTAGTAATAGAAAAAAAAAAATATATAAATAATATAGAAGTCCTCTTGCTATCAACTTGTATTACTTATTTAAAGAAACTTATCTAAATAATAGCATATCTATTATAAATTACACTGCATAGAATTGAAATTTAAACCAAAATCTTTAAATAAGTATTTAAAAATTGCATTTTGTAATAAATTCCTTACCTGGATACAAGTACACATCCAGTAGATTCCAAATGCCGCGCCAGGCATTCACAGCCCCAAAGAAAGTCATCATATAGTAAATGTCGCATATGATCAGCTTGGGGATTCCGCTTATACGACGGCACACATACCGCATCAGTGGGTGGATGAGGAAGGTCACAAACACTGTGAGATACCCAATGAGCTATAGAGGGATGGAATATCTAATTAATACTACCGATATGGTGGGAATTCTAGCGATCCTTACCAGCGATCCCCAGGCTGACTTGGCCCGATCCGCCGGAAAGAGCAGCAAGTCAAAGATTCCCCAAACTCCGCGCCAGGCGATGACCACCAAACTGCCAATGACAAAGACCGAGAACAGGGTGTCCAACACATACAGGCCAGGTTGATGAAAACCCTAAGGAATAAAGGTCCGTAATAAGTACAAAAAATATAATTTTTAAGGGTGAAGAATATTTTTCCTTGCTAAATTTTGTAGGAAGTTTCTTAAAAAAGAGCTTTTAAATCTTTAAATAACAGAGATCAAATGTTTTATACCTATGTTTTTAAGATTGTAGGGTTATAAAACTTATTCATGTTACGCTTTAAACTCTTAAAACTATTATTTATAATCCTTCAAAATTTAATTATTTATCTATTTAATGACAAGACTATACAATAATTTAATTTATAAGTAAAAGGCAAAAAACCGTCAACAAAATATATATAGATATAAACTATTCATATACTCTGGTTTTTGATTTAAATATTCATGTTGAAATATTGGTTAGTTTTCTTTTGAAAGATATAAATCAATTTCTTTTAAATTCGAAGACCATATAATTTGCATTTCATTTAATAATGTTATACATTTTCTACTGATAAAGTAACAATGGCTTTATCAAGGTGTTTTTTTATTTAATGGTAAAGTATAATTTAGTTTTTTCAATATTTCCCATTTTACTCACGGGTATTTTGAACATGGTGTCCACCTCAAAGTAGTCGCTCTTGTGGTCCATGGTGACCGTATAGGGGGCTGCGCCCAGGTTCCTCAGCGTCCTGGTGGCCACCAGGAAGACCAGTGCGATGGCCGTGACCACGGAGACGATTATCAGGGAGTCGATGCTGGTCAGCCAGTCGCAGAGCAGCCAGGCACCGCGCCACATATTAACGCAGACGATCCCAAAGACGGCCGTATAGAGTCGCGATACGGTGTAGTAGGTGAGTCGCCTCCTGTCCGGATGCACATGCTCCTTGAAGAAGTTCTGCGTGACGGTGAAGAGGAAGTGGCCTAGTCCGCCTATCAGAAAGCTGGCCAAGGCCGAAAGCGGCAAACTGCGAGGGAACAGGTAGACACCCATCAGCTCCCAGGTGCCGCGCCAGTAGGCAATCACACAGGGAGCCACCACCAGGCAGGATAGCAGCATGTCCAGCAGCTCCAGCAGCAGCTCATGGAGATCCCGTCGCGGTGTTTCCGCCTCCAGACGCTTCTCGCAGGCAGGTGAGTGTGCGCTCAGGTGGATGGTGGGTGTGGGTTTGGGTTTGGGTGTTGCTGTGGATGTGGCTGTGGGTGTAGAATGCATTTGCAGACGCACCGGATGTGGATGTGATGGGGATTGTGGATGGAGGTGCTGCAGGAGCTGCTGATCCGTCACCGATGCTCCATGGCAATGGGAACTGCCCTTGTCCGTGGTCAACATCTCGTTGGGTTTTGTTCTTTTCTCACTGTTGTTGTCACTGGGGAATCTCCTAATTCGCCCCCAATTAAAAGCAATTATCACTTTTTTTTTCGACTAGGAGCGCTCCTGAACGCTGCTCGTCGGCGGCTCGGATGTTTTTGAAGCAGTCAGGTAACTAAATGCATTCCGCAACCGGTAATCTCCGCAAGCCTCACCGCCGCTGCATCGCCGCTGCTGTGATAATAATCTGGCACTGATAATTAAACCGTCTATCTGCGGGTCCCTCGCGTTCTCTCCAAAGTCTGGCCGCAGTTGCATAATCCGCTCTAGCATTCGCATCCACATCCACTGTCACATCCACGTCGAGGTTGCCATTTGCCGTCTGGACAGCGATAGGGGGAGAAAAAGAAATAATTATAGTATAATTATTAAATGAGCCCGGGATCCTTATCACCATCTCCTCCCCCGGTTATCAATCGTTCCGCGGGGGCAAGCAAGACAAAAAAAATAAGTAAAGTCCTAATAAGTATTTAATAGTTATATAGTTTATAGACCTAGCAGATGCGGGCTTATCGCCATCCGACTGTTTCCAGTATTCACCGACATTTAAAAGCGGACCTTGGGCTCTGTACTCGTGCATCAAGTGTTAATATTAAGGCAGGTTTACTATAAAATTGAAGAGATAACACTTCCAAGCACCGGGAAGCTGCACAGATTACTAGTCTTGATTAAAAAAAGGAACTAAATTTATTAACTATTTCTATACAGTTACAAACTATACAATCCAAAAGAAAAAGAATACATGCAACTAAAGGATTCAATTTAAAGAAAGTTCGAACAGAGATATTGTATCTATCATTCCTTAAACTGTTTTTTTGTTATTATTGTTTTAGTAAAAGTTTTAAAAAGCTTCATAAACTAATTAAATCTCGCTGATCTTGATTAAATAATGAAATTATGTTAATTATTTATTTCTGTAAAGTAACCAAGTAATCAAAAATATTTTATAATATTTTCTGGCTTAAATTTAACTAAGTAATCCAAAAAGAAAGCAAAGTACAGCTTTTCGCAATAGTCTTTTTGACAACCAATACAATAACTTCCAAATAAATCTGCAACTTAAGTACTTTCGCGATAGTGATTTAAGCGTATTTACATGCGTGCTATGATTGTTTTACTATTGTTAAAAAATACCATAAAGCTTTTAAAAACAAATTGTGAGTCAGAATTTTCGGAATAAAATGTATTAAAAAAGTAATTTAACCAATTAGTTTCACATAATACCAGTGGAACTAATATTTTATATAATCTTTATTATAAAAATAGAAAAAAAGTTCCCATTTCTATGACTCATTAAATATGGTTTATTTAAATCATTGTTTGGATTAAAGCCATCAAGGGAATCCTTTATAGCCGCTCAATGGTTTTAATGTTATTAGGGGGTTTAAAACGAGAACGACCACAACAAGATATGAAAAGCCAGCACACTCGTTTGTTTACCCAAGTCAGATGTCCCACATTTTATGGATATCACCTGAGATGAGAGCCTGAGTAGAGTCCAAGCTCTTTTACTGATAGCTCAACGTCAACGTGACAATTTGTGCGTTGAGTGGCCTCTCCACGCGGCACTTAAGTCGCCCCCTCGGACTTATCTCAAGTGACTTAATGGATCCAATTTAGCGGCTTTGATTAAAAGTAGAAAGTCAAGCGACAGCGAAACAAAAAGCGAAAGTGATCCGATCCACACGCCAGGGCATGGGCATGGGCATGGGCATGGGCATGGGCATGGGCATGGGCATGGGAGTCTTGAACCTGTGCCACTTGAACCTGCCACTTGAGTGGCCAGGTCAGGGGCAATCAGAAAGGGATTCTTTAAATGATGCAATGCTTGGTCGGGGAGATCTGGCTATAAGCTTAAAATAATCGACACACACAAGTGATTTCCACATTCAAAATTCTGCACAGAAACAACATTTAAGCCGACTTAATATTTACAAAAGGAAACTCTAAATTAATTAATGCATATCCCAAGCTTAAAACCGTATTAATAAATGACTTCCATAATTTGTAAGCTTCTATCGAATAGTTCCTTCAAAAGTATTTTACATATTTCAAAACAGATATTAATAAAAATGTATTTTTAAATTAATACAATAAAATAACAATAAAATATTTGGTATTCACTTTTCCTATTTTAAAGCTAAGTTAGGTTATTTTTAGTAAAACTAAGTTAAATTTTGATGCATGATTCCATCTACAGAATAGCTAAAGATACGTTAAAAAAACTGTTAAAATAAATTACAAAATCTCAGTCATTTGTAATGTAAATCGAGGAAGGCAGTGATCGTTTTAAGCGAGTGTGTAGTTCTTATTTGTTCTTTTTTCTAAATTTAAATCTTGTATAATGGATTCTGCGCCAATTCCATTTATAGTCTTTTACGTCTCCGACAATTATGCACTGGCAGTGTCTAATTAGTCGAAGCCCCGCTCACTGCCCCCCTCGGAATTAGTGCAGGATGTTTGTGATTTTCGTGTTTTGCTTGCTGGCCGTCTGCGGCGGCAACGCGGCGTATGCGCGATAATTAAACACACGACTTGCATGGGACCGCCGTCGAAGGTCCAAAGCGGGGATATGGGATTTTGGATTTCAGATTTCGCATTTCGTTTGGATCCACAGAGGACGGCTACTACTTGCTGTTTGGGTCAAGCGCATTCGCATTTAAATCGGCTGGCTAAATAGACGACCCGCTGAGCGGCTCATTGCGCCCAGCAAGACTTCCTCGTTTTGGGGGGTTTTCAGATATTCAGATATTCAGAGATGGATGGATGATGGAGGGATGATGCTGAATTGAGAACAGGGCGGCATCGAGGAGGGGGGTTTTTCAAGTTCAAACTCCCCAAGTGGGCCAATGCGATGCAAATGCACATTGTACTCCAATTATGTCGGCTAATTGACAAAGAACGGGTGACAATTCAAATGCCAAATTGGACGCGCTGCGACTGATTCTCAATTTTCGCAAGGTTCTTGATAAGTCCCAGCCCCCGAGTTGCGACTTGAATGCCAGCTAATTAGGTTTGCCAACACAAACGAGCTGCAAATATTACCCCCTACTATATTTATTTCTGGGCAAAGATATACAGATATATAGATAGATGAATAAGGCCGAGCCCGCCAAACACTAAAATCCCACGAAATGCCGCCTTTTATTTGGATATTGTTAAGTGTTTACGATCCTAATTGGCCTCTGACTTATTCGAAAGCGGTTTCAGGTGCGATAATGGCAAGAGTACATCTCCTAACAGCTCCCCTTTTGTTCAATATTTGCCCGTGTCATTATCAGCTCATAAGTGCTCTTTTTGCTGGCATTATTCTCAGGTTGAATAATCGCAACTGAGCGAACCTAATACACAATTTCAAGGGGCACTTAATCACTAGCAAGATGGGCAAACATTTTCCGCATTGATCGTCTAGCGCCATTTAAGTGTAACACTTCATATGTAAATGTCAGATTTTTATTTCCTCTGTAAACTGTGGGTGTCAACTTTGATCAGCGTGTATTTTAAATTCAATAAACAGACAATCAACTTAGCATAATTGGTCACTCCCATCAACCTGTGTGTCCAGCATCTAATTTAAATGATTTTTCTCATGTCATTTATAAAGCTTTTATATTTAAAAGGTTGACTTCTTTTTCGGAATAGAATTAAATTTAAGTAAAATCAATTGAAATTAAAGACAACACTGCGTATGAGTAATCATTTTAAATTAATTTGTACTTGTGTCTTTTTGAATGTTAAGAAAACCAAATGAATCCCTTATTTCGTGTTAAAACAAAAACGCTTATATTAAAATCTATCTCAACCAAAACAAAAACAAAATTTCCAAATTATTGAGATAAGATTTAAACCGACTCAATTTGCTAATTGTTTTTTGTTATCGCTTTGTACATATTGTTAAATTATTTATTAAATGATAAGTATGTGAATAAATAAATAAAATTTACCATAAGCTGCAACAATAAAGTTATATTTTGATAAGCTATTTTAGGAAAAACATTAGAGTTGTTAAACATTTTGTTTTATCTAATTAGAAACTCTAACATTTTGCGAAACAAGTGCCGTATTTCGAAATTGCTACGATTAGATTGGACAGTCAAATCCAATCGGCTAACTTGTAAATTGATATCCCTTATCAGTTATAGATTTACAAATATTACAAAATAATACATTTTAAGGGAGCGGAAAATGCGTGGGCAGCGATAAACAAACAGTAAAACCGCGACCACACTATACACACACACACACGCACATACTGCAGAAATCACACTCACACACTCAAAGCAACGATGGACTGTAATAAATTTTGCAAAAACAAAAACATGGGATTACCGTTTAAAATTAGCAGAGCTTGCTGTTGCTGATTTTGTTGTATATTTTTTTTTGTTTTCTGCTGCGTGGTGCGTGAGTCGCAAGTGCGAAAGAGATGGCTGCAGCAGTAATTCCAGGGGTTTGATTTTGTTTTACTTTTACAGCACACACACACACACACACCGGAAATGATCGGGTTTTATCGAATTGCTTCGATTACTTCGTACGTCGGTTTCGGCTTCGATTTAATTTCGATTTCGTTCGATAGACCGTTACACCGTTAGACGTTGACCGTAGATGTTTGATGTTCGAATGCGCGTTCGCGACTTCTGGCGCTACTATATATATGCCTATACTCGTAGGAATTGGCTAAGCTCGGGCATACAAATACACGAAAATCACACACAAATACTGGCGCATTTGCAATCTAGTTTATATTTGTACACGGTTGTTTGAACTCGGCAAAGCGATCTGATCGTTCTGATCGCTCGTCAGTCGCCGGTGGCCGCAGCTACTCAACTGGACAACTGTGGTTATCCGGGGGATCCGCAACCGAAACTGCCTCTGATTTGGGTCTCCGTCGCGGACTGAGTGCCCCAAAAGCCCCCAGCGCGTAAAAATCGCCACAGCTTTACATCCAGTCCCCCTTTATCGAGTCAAAATCCGAGCTTGAGCATTTTCACCGATAGCAAATTCGGATTTTGCCACCATTAGTTTAAGTATTTTAGGTATTTTTTCCAAAAAAATTACATATCTGTTTTCAGAATTTTCGACTCTTGCGAAACCGTTACAAAAATGTCTTCTATTTATACTTGTGTTTGGAAATTTTTGAAATTGTCACCCAAGAGCTTTCCCACAGCTATAAGCTTTCTTTACAGGCTATGGCAGCACTATTTTTTAGTATTATGATCACTTCTTAGCAGCTACAGTAAAGAAAATTTATATTGGAACGGAAATTTCCAACGGAAATATTTGTTTTAATTTAGAGGCAATTCTAAAATTTTGTATATCAGTTAAATATGGATCATACCTTGTTCTTAATTTAAAAAAAAAAATTATTCGGAACTGGGGCATTATAAAAAATGATATAATTGAAGAAAATTAGTTAAGTGTTTTCATGTTTTGTTTTCTTTTTAATCCTTGTTCAGAAGCAGGTTGTGGTTGATTAATTATGAATCAATTAATCAATGATATGGATATTAAAAAACTATTATCGAACGATCAACAATGTTAGAAATGCAATTTATTATAGGTTGGCAGTAATAAGTAGCATGACTTAACTGACTTAAATAATTCAGTGTGAGAATTAGTTTAGAGTATTGAAAGGCTTGGAATATGTAATTTGCACATCAATATTGGGGAAATCCCATGAAAATGCCATAAAGCTTGATAACTAGGTATTTTTTTTGATTTGTTAATAATTATTACCAGACGTCGCGTAACAGAAATTTTGAAATAATAACGATGCAAGTGCATCGAGTGCAAATCTATAAATATTTAATTACGCCTGGGAACTGGAAAACGTGGCAGTATCAAAACGCAGTTACACTTTCCCTTCGAATCAGAATGATTTAATTTATGCGTGAATAATTTTAGATAACAAAAAATAAGTACTGTGATTGTGCAAATAAATAAATTCAATTAGCTACTGTTTGACAGGTGAAGATTTATATTGCAATTGAAATGAGTTTCCCATCCATAAATTTAACTAATGCTACACATGACTGGTATTTTTTATTAGATTACCGTTTTTACACTCATAACCGTCGGTTGTGATTTTCTTTGTCTTATAAATAGCACAAATCACAGATATTAAAAGATAATGGGTAATTTAATAGAGCATTGGAAAAAACGTTTATGCTTATTTATGGGTTAACCTTGAAATCGGTTGACTTAGATTGTTTTGCCAAAATAAACTCAAGTACTCGTCTGGTTCTCTATCTCTGGACGCAAGGCTGTTTCTTTATCAACACAAAAGTTTGAAGGAAGTACAATTTCAAACCCAAATAATGCTACTTATCAAAAGATTCCATCACAAAAACAATAATATACTTAAAAGTTTTTAAATATTTTTCATGTTTTAAACTCGAGTTTCTTGTAATCATATAATTATTACAACGGTTTTTATGATAGCCTTTTCTCACGTTTCTTAGCATTTTATATTAAGTTTACACACTTTTGTAATAAAAATAATCAAAAGATCGCCAAATTTCACCATAATCTTACCAATTTTCAGATAACAGCTATCAAAATATGAAAAAATCGATTGAGAAACTTTTGGAGCGCACTGATACGTATTTAAAGCCGGTCACAACAGTACTAACCTACGACAAAATAAACCAGATTCAACTTGAGATCTGTTTTGGAGATCGCTGAGATATTCCAATGCCAACTGATCCGAGTTTTTCGGTCAGACCTATGCAAATCATATCAAAAATCACCGATGTCACCGATGCTTTTCAGTGTGCTGGATTGTTTATTAATTTAATTAATTAGCCCAAGCTTTATCAAATATTTGCATACGTCTCCACCGATTTGAGCGCGCGATGATCACCAACTAAAAGCGTTGCAAAATATTTGAACCCTTCAAACGCCCAAATCGGAGGCGTCGTGTTATCGCCACCGAAATGATAAGACCGAACCGAGAGGAAGGTGTATGTGTACACATATGGGTCCATTCCACTCCCTTTAAGCTGTTTGACTGGCCTATTCCACTTCGGCGGCGATTAGAAATTAATGTAAATGTCCCGGCCCCAACTGGATTCTCATGTGTATTTTTCCGCAATAATCGTAGATTCGTTCCGAATTCCCGTTCTGATGACAAAAGCTGTTGCTATCACAGCGTTGCGAAAACACAGGCATTAAGACCGAAAGACCCGTCCAATCAGTTGCCGGGTCATAAAGATCGAGCAATGCCTATCGGTTTCGATGCTAAAGACCCGAAGGGGTTCGCCTTTTCGCGCGGTTTTAATCGCACGCAAATCGCTAGGGCTTCGAACAACACGATTCTTTTACTGTTTAGCTGATTAAAATTAAAACTTAGATTGGGAAACATAAGTGTATTTTCAGAATCAGCTTTCCAAACAATTTGGTTCAGATTTAATTTTATTGTAAAGAAAATCTAGGTTAAATTGAAATCAATCTAAATGATCTACAAAACGAATTGCGCATAAATAAACCTACACAAAAATGGGTTTGAAAATTAAAAGAGAAGAATACAAAAAATGTCATAAATATTTGTTATTTGACCAATTGGTCTTACAACTCAGCTGATAAGGTATTTTCATTCTCATTAAATTTGGGCGAACTGATTAAAGGTTATTGAGCTTAAAAGATCTGTTGTTGCTCAAATTTTCAGCAAATATGCACACAACAAATATTTTCTGAACACAAACTGAGGAATATTTTAATCTACGTTAAATACGGTTGTCTACGCTAAAAGAAGATTTAAAATCTGTGCAATAAAATGAGAAATTATTGGTTTAATTAAAAATATACTACACTTTTGATAAATTAAATTGAAGTGAAGAACAATAAAAATAACAGGAAAAGAGAAGTCTAATAATACCACAAGTTAATTTACTTTGACAGCCATAAGTGTGCTACATATAATCATTTTTTGGTAGCCATTTTACTTGACTAACCTAAAAGTAGGCAACAAAAAGGTTTTTGGGAACTTAATAATTAAAAAAAAAAACGAGAACAATGTTCATTGCTATGTTTTAAGACATTTTAATTCTATGCACCTGCAGTAATGGTAAATAAGTCAATTGGTTATGTAAGCCAAACTCAAAATGACTTTATATAAAAGCTTAATATATTGTTCTATTAAAAACTATATAATCAGTGTACGACTAAGCACTAACGGCCTTAAGTTCTGTGGACTCCTTTCCTTTGAAGGCCTCCACCAGTTTGAATTTCTGGACTTTGCCGGAGGTGGTTTTTGGGAATGCATCTATGGGGATCACATATCTGGGCACCTTGAAGTGGGCCAGCTTGCCCTTGCTGTATTCCTTCAAGGTTTCCGCGGTGAAGGAGGCGGGGTCCACGCCCTCCTCAAGGCGAACGTAGGCACAGACCTCCTCGCCCAGTCGCTCGTCGGGAACACCAATCACCTGCGGAATGGAAAATTATTAATTATTATCTAATAAATAAAGAAAATTATAATTTAAGTTGAACTGATAAAAAAATGTAATAGTAAAAATAAATATCTTACTCTTGAATTTAAAATAATATTAAATACAATTTATTTTAATTATACTAATAAAAATTAATTGCATGGTTTAATATTAAAATATTTTAATTTATGTGGAAATATTAAATTTTGGCTAGTCCCAACATAACTTGTATTCATTTTATTTGATTTTAGATATTTAAATCAATAAATGCATTTTAATTAAGTTGATATTTGGATTTACTATGTTGTTGTTTACTACCAGTGTATATATCGACTCACATGAGCTTCGATGATCTGCGGGTGGGAATTCAGAAAGTCTTCAATCTCTTTGGGGAAAATGTTTTCGCCGCCGCGGATGAGCATCTCCTTGAGTCGGCCCACGATCCGGCCATAGCCATTCTCCTCGAGGATGAACTGATCCCCTGTGTGCAGCCACATGTTCTTGATGGTTTCCTTCGTCTTGGCCTTATCCCCATGATAGCCAATCATGGTGGTGTAGCCACGGACACACAGCTCACCGGGCTGTCCGAAGGGCACACACCTGCCCTGCGCATCCACCACCTTGGCTTCGATGTGATCTTGGAGATGACCCACCGAATTCAGGACGATCTCACTGTCATCGCCGGGCAGCGATTGAAAGATCACCGCCGTTGACTCGGTCAGGCCATAGACACTGTGCACCGCTTCCACTCCGAGGACATTGCGCACATCCTTGATGAGCTGCGGCGACACAATGGCACCGCCCGTGACGGCCTTCTTGATCCTGCCCAGCGGCACCTGCAGTTTCTTCTGCTTGCTCACCAAATCCACATACATGGTGGGTGTGCCATGGATCACCGTACACTTTTCGTTGACAATCGCCTGCAGCGAGTCCTTGGGACTGAAGCCAGCGGCTGGCATGACCATCGTGGCTCCTTTGGCCAACCCAGCCATGATCGAGATGCACACTCCGAAGGCATGGAACAGCGGCACCTGAACACAAATCCGCTCGCCCTCCAGTTGATTGCGATTGGCCACATGGATGCCATTGTTGACGAAGCTGTAGTGCGAAAGTACTGCCGCCTTGGGATTGCCAGTGGTTCCCGAGGTAAACTGAATATTGCAGGCGGACTCTGGCAGTATGTCCCTCTGGATTTTGGCCACTTCCTCGCGTTCCGATTGGTTGGCCAGATTTTGTAACTCCTCGAAGCGCAGGGTCCCCTTTAATGAGTCTCTACTTTCGATGATCACAGATTTCAAATGCGGAAACTTCTCACTCCGGATTTTGCCAGGCTGCGCATCCGCAATTTCCGGGCAGATATCCCTTAAAATCTCATAGTAGTTCTGGCTCTTATAACTCTCCGGTGCAATGATGGCCTTAATATCCACCTTATTGAGGCAATAGGCCATCTCGGGTCCTTGGTAGGCGGGATTCAGGCCCACCGAGGTGAGGCCCGCTCGAGCTGCGCCCATCATTCCGAGGTACCAGTGCATATAGTTGGGTGCCCACAAGCCAATGGCATCACCACGCTGAAGTCCCAATTTCCGGAATCCCGCCGCCAAGGCATCCGCTTCACGTAGCAACTCCTTGAAGGTGAACCGTTTTCGCTCATGACAGGATACAATGGCCTCCACGTCTCCGTATTTCGCCACTGACAACTCCAGTTCCTGGCCAATGGTGCGATACACCAGAGGATGTGGACTCACATGGTGCTTATGGCTGATCAGGATGGGCAACGTGGTGGAGATACTGGTAAGGAGAAAATAAATTAAAATTAATATATAAGTTAGAAAATATTAATATTAAATAGTGATTTTGTAATTTTAACTGTTTTCGTGTCAAAATCAAAATATCACCATTAGCGGTTTGTGCTTCTGCTGTGTGGGTTTACATTTTTGCTGAGTGTAAAAGCTTTTAGAAAGTGAAAAAGCTTATAATTTAAATAGTGTGTAAGCCCACGTTGGTACATACATACATACGTATGTATAATTATTATCACTTAATAGTTTTTGCTGACAGATTCTGCTTCCGATTTGTAAGTGTGATTTAATATAATTACCAAACCGAGATTTGGTGCGCGTGCCAAGAGCCGTTTACATATTATAATATGTATATTAATATTTAACCAGGGTGAGAATTAATCGGTTATTGAAACTTATATCTTGTGTTAATTACACAAACCCTTGTAATTGTAATTGTCTTGACGCTTGTTGACAGAAATTACCTCAGCACTTGAGCTTCGTGGCCACAATAAATTATCAAGCGAGTGGAAAGTTCTGTTGACGATTTGCTTATCTATTGAAATTCATCTAAATTAACACACGATAATTAAAGCGACCAGGTTGTGGTCTGTTTTTAAACTACACGCCCCTTTTAAGTTAAGGACTTTCGATTAAGACCTACGTAAGCTAATTAAATTTATGTGTTCTAGCAACTGTACCATCTATCTGGAATCTGAAATATTACGCAATGTGGCAGAGGGAGTAAAATGGGGATTATAGCTTGTTTTAACCAGAACTGCGCATTTAGATGATGGAAATTTTCTACCCTGCATGCACTTTGCAGGTAGTATATATAAATAAAAGTGACCTTGACCTTTTCTTTAAGGATAAGAATCCTTAAAGGACCTGCCTACCTGCGTATCGAGTTGAAAGCACATCTCTGCCTCAGCATTTGTCTGGAGATGATCCGCAGTTTCCTATTCATCTTGTCGAATATCACAGTTGCTTGTTTTAAGTTAACGATAATATATTAATGATTCATAGTATGCACAATTTCACTTTCACTTAAAACAATTGTTTAATTTGCCCTCCAGTTGATTGTTTAATGAAATGTGTATTTTATTGCTAATGGAATTTTATAGCAGTCTAGTTACGTCCGTAGCCCACCAAGTTCTGAAGCAAACTGAGCGGAGTTCATCTTATCGCCATACGTTCTGCCATATTCGCTGCCTCTGCCAGCACTTTTTAAAATGTTTTATTAATTTCTTTATAGCTTGACAAGACCATTGCCGGCCTTTGTTTTGCTTTGCATTTTTACGCTTATATTTTGCTTGCATTTTTGTTTGCTTTTGCCAGCACGTGAGGCTTTGAGTTGTCACAGTGTGTGTTTTATTTTACTATGTTTGTTCTACTAGTTGATTCCGAAAGTAACATTCAGTGGTCAGGGTCGTAACAAAAGGGGATTGAAATAAATACATTATTCACAGAAAATATTTTACATAAATACTTATAATAATTATAGAATGAATAATATATGTACAATCATAAATTAAATTTATAAGTTTTAACAGAGATAATTGTTATGGATTTAAAACTAAACATTTTTTTTTCTCAATCCCTCTCTTAAAAAATATTTAACTACGTCCCAGTTTGAAGCTTTTTCGTTGAGATGTGAGTCGCAGCTTTTTGATCTGTTAGAAATGGTAGCTCTCTCAATTATTTGCCTCATCTGAGATGGGTAAACTCGAAATCTAAAACAGAGTGGTTTTCTCAGAGAGATTAATAGTAGTATACGAGAATTCACTGCCGGGCATCTGTGTTATTAAAAACTAACAGTCATTTTCAATTACTAACACCTGTTAAATCGATATTAAAGTATTCATAGCGTGTTGTTTTTGCAATGACTTTGAAATTTCAGAACTACATACGTAGCTGTAAAGTAATTTTAATTCCCACAACAGGTTATAAACTTAACTGATTAGATAAGATAAGTTTAAGTACCGGGTTCTTAAATCATTTATTACGGAATCCCTGATAAGTCAGCCGACATATCGCTTTTATCACACCCCTTACGAATATAGAATTGCTTTGTATTTAGTTGTCTTGTTCAAATCAGCAAACATATAAATTGGAAAATTAAAAAAGAAAAGAGGAGTGTTATGCGGAAATCATGGTAAGTTGTTTATTCAGCTTTTATTTTAAATCAATAAAATGTATAATATTGTGAAGTATAGAAATGCATTAACCAACTCAATTAAAATGTAAAATTCTATAAAAAACCAAGGAATTTAAAAAATATGCTAATATAATTATTAAATTTATTTAATTACTACTTTGCATATATAAAGAGTCACTACTTTTGACCTCCATAATTAAATACAAGGCCATTCCTGGCCATTAGGGATTTCCACTACCAGTCCGATAGGATCTTAAAATCTCAGTCTAGCCAGTTGGCCCATTTGGATTTTCCACCGGCACTTAACGCCTGTGGAAATCCCAACGAAACTTAGGAGCTGCGCCGTGATTTTGGCGCCAAAAAAGGCGGTATTTGACCGGATTCAACAATTGTAAACAAACGCTTGCGCGGATGTTGTTTGGCACTTCCTTGGAGCGTCTTGCGTCCTTCGAGTTTGGAGCTTCGTCGTGTTGCCAAAGCTACCAAACGAGTGAAAGGGCCGAGTTTTTCCGCTCGAGCGCCTTGGGAAAACTCGACTGGCAAATCAGAAACTCGCAGACGCTCGTGGCAAACGGTTCACATTTTTCGTGGCTCCCAAAAGAAACCAGAAATTCCAGTCAAAGTTGGGGACTCTTTTGGCCAAAAAACCAAAGAAAAAATATATAATAAAGGGGGCACTGCCGTTAACGCACACGCAACCGAAGCCATAAAGGGGCTAAACATATAAATTTGTGTAGTAAAAGTGAAGAAAGCGAAAGAATCAAAGTGGAATAATAGCGAGCGGATGTGTTGGAGCCTTTTTTCGGTGTGTGTTTGTGTGTGTGTGTGTGTGAGTGTGTCTGTTGCTGTTGCCAATGAAAATGCAAATTGTTGGTAACAAATATTGGTAAAATGCGGAGGCCGTAGGAATTTGTGCAATGCGAGTGCGAAGCAAAGGAGCCCAAAACTATGCAGCTAAAAACCCGCCGCCAAACCCCGAATCGAATCAATAATAATACAATAACCGAAGCGATATTACACGGATAATGGCAGCATAAACATCGTTAGCATCCAGTCCATCCAGTGTTTCCTGTTTAACCAACGAACCACCCACACACCCTCCTCTCTATAAAATATATATGCCCCCCCATTGTAATGGCAACTGATAACTGAGGGTGGAACTCGTCGAATCAAAGACCTAAGGATGTCGCAGCCTCGCGGAGGGCGTGGCGGTGGGCGTGGCGGCGGTGCTGGGGGCGCTGGCGTTGGCCGCAAAACCCCCTCATCGTTGACCGGTCCGCCGGATGACTCGGCCACGCCCAGCGAACGGGCAACGCCCGCCAGCAAGGCCGACTCGGATCCCAAGGATGACAGTTCGAGCAACGGGGACAAGAAGGACATGGACCTCTTTCCCGCCCCCAAGCCGCCGAGTGCGGGCGCCTCCATCCGGGACACGGCCAACAAGGTCCTCGGACTGGCCATGAAGAGCGAGTGGACGCCCATCGAGGCGGAGCTCAAGAAGCTGGAGAAGTACGTGGCCAATGTGGGCGAGGATGGCAATCACATTCCGCTGGCCGGCGTCCACGACATGGTGAGTACTGTACAGTGAAGAGCAGAGGAGTGGAGAGAAGTGATGTGGAGTTTTTCGGCTCATTTGGCTGAAATGGTTGTAAAATCAATTGCGAGCCAGAGCGGGAATAGGAAGCGAAATAAGTACAGGAACAGGTCTTACACTCAGAAAAACCAATCTGATTCACGTAATTTAAAATGAATTTAACAAATATATTTTTATCTGAAATATCGACCGATTACCAATGAGTAATTTGTATTTAGATATTTTTGAGTCTACATGGACATTTTTAATTGTTGTGTTTGAAAAAATTTTTAAAACAATTTTCTTGTTTTTCCTTTCGAAATGCTGAAACAGCAATATTAAGTTAAAATCTTGTTTTTGCGTCGGGATAATTATTCCTTAATTACTGACAAATAGAAAAGTAAGCTGTAATATTGAAATCATATGCTGTTTAGTCTGCAATATATCCATGATTTTTAGATTAAATAAATAAATAATAATTTGAAAATGTTATAAAGTAAACAAGCATATAAATAAAGTTTTGGTTTTTTTGTTTTGTTTGTAGCAAATGAACTTTAAACAAACAAAGTTGAAAACCGTTTTTTAAGCCCGGGCTTTTAAAAAAGATCTGGAAATGAATTTTATAAGTTCCTTTTTTCATTTTGGAAGATATGTTATGGTTATATTTTGAATATTTTTTTTTGTAATAACCCATATTATGAGCAACCTTAACACAAGTGTATGCGATGTACAAACGTCGCCCTTATCAACGTCGGCGGCATTTTCCCATTTCTGGTTGTTTACCAGCCAAAATAACGACACATAGAGCCCGGGAACCAAAGGCCAGAAAACAAAAGCCAGAAACCAGAAACCAGAAGCCGAATAGCAAAAACCAAAAAACAGAGAACGGAAAACGGAAAACAGCGAATGTTATTTGATAGCGCGTCCCAAATGTTTTCGCTGCCAAGGCGATGGCTTTGGTGGCTTTGAGCTGTGGAGTTTTGGAGTTTAGTCCTGCCACAAGTTGCGCTGACTACCCGACCGATAAACTCATAAAACATCGAAGGATATTGAAGCGCTTCGATTTCAATTTACCATAAACGGTATGAAACGGAGAAGTCGTTGACATAAAATTAACGTTGCACCGACCGCTAATGAAATGCGGGAGGTGGTGTGCGGCCAAAAGGATTGGAATTTCCTGCTGGGTTTTTGGGGAGTTACTTTCAATCCCAACCGCCAGTTCAGGTTGTCTGCCAGACTAGACTGAGCCCTAGACCATATTTGCATAAATATATAGCTAGGGTTTGAGCTATTTTTGCCTTGATTATTTCCGTTTTTTCTGGGCTTTTTTTTCTTTTTGGTTTATTCGGTTCTTGACTTGATGGCTATGCTCTTGATTTCGTTTTAATTGCGAAAGAATGAGCTTATAATATGGAACGCAGTTTATCAGCTGAAGAGTTCTATAACTATGAATGTAACTGGATCAAGTTTAAAGCAGTTAAAGCCAAACCTTTGAAGTTCTATATTAAGTAGTCTTTACAATAAATGTATGTAAATAATGCTTTTGTCTATAAAGTGTTAAAATAATATTTAAATATTATTTCTTGTTATATTTGTCTTTTATAATATGTTCCCATTTTTAAGTATATTTTCATTACTTTTTATTGATTTTGAAGGCAACAATGACTGCCAAGATGTATTCGAATATACTTTTAAATCGTTTAAGTGGGTCTAACATATTTATTTTAATTTCTTATCAGCTGAGAAACAACGCAGCAGCTTTTAATTACAAAACCGATTTCACAGATGATTATTAAATTTGAAACGAATCTCTTATCAATGCAATTTGACAGGGATGTCACGAATAAAATTAATGGCAATTTAATAGGCAAACTTGGAATTTTGTGACTAGAGCCAGTTCCTTCAAGATTATTGCAATGTTGTTTAGTTTGTATTATGCAGATTATTTCACAGCTTAGAAGTTTATGTAACATATAAAAGCTTATTATTAAATAAATGAACTAAAATATTAAATTTGTTTAAATAGTGTTTAAATAATCTTTGCTTAATAAAATCCTATAAATTTCCATTGCAGAATACCGGCATGACGCCGCTGATGTACGCCACCAAGGACAATAAGACGGCCATAATGGATCGCATGATTGAGTTGGGCGCCGATGTGGGAGCCCGCAATAATGTGAGTCTTGACCGGGAACATATACTACATACCACATAGGACTAGGAATAATTTAAAGCACCTCAGCCAACTGCCCGTTGTGGTGGATCCAAATATAGAGGCAGTCCAGCTGTTTAAGCCAACAGCGGCAACAAAAGCCGCTAAAAATGTGTCAAATCAATAAAAACCGCATAATTAAATCTCGAGCGAGGGCGTCGGTGGGTGAACCCGTGCACCCAATTCTACGCACAATTCTCACGCACCACTCCACCCCCTTCAATACTTCA